CAGCGAGGAGCAGCAGCTGCAGCAAGCGCTGCAGCTGCTGCAGCTGCAGGATCCTTCCTTATTATTTACTGCAGCAGAAGGAGAGCCATTCGTCTTATGGGGCAGAGGGCAGCTGCAGCTAGAGCTTGTTAGAGATAGACTAAGAAGGGAATTTGGTAACTTGCTGCTGCTGCTGTTGCTGCTGCTGCTGCTGGAGGGGTTGGTGTTGGTTGGGCCCTTCCTGTATGTCATGCTGCAGCTGTTTGTAAAGAACACTCGTTACGGTGCAACAGCAGCAGCAGTTCCTGCTGCTGCTGCTAGAGTGTCCGTTGATTGATCAAGTTTGCTTCGATTTGCTGCTGGTGCTGCTGCTGCTGCTACTGCAGGTGTGACAACGCACTTGGCTCCCGTGGAGGTCGCATACAAAGAAGTGCTGCTGCAGTCGCTAAGAGGCAGCATTACGTGGCCTGCCCGCAGCAGCAGCAGCAGCAGCGGGAGCATGCAGAGCAGGAGGCGAGGAGGCAGCAACAGCAGCAACAGCAGCAGCATTTGCTTAGATATGGAGTTAGTGCCGCTGCCTCTGGTGTCTCCTGAGCTGCGTCTCTCTTCTTTACTTAAGGGAGAGGCCGATCCCGCTCCTGCTGCTGTTGCTGCAGCAGTTGCAGCAGCAGCAGCGCCTGCTGCTGCTGCTGCTGTTGATAACAATTTTCCTATGGAAGCCCTGCGGACCCTAACCCCGCCATCAGCACGAACAGCAGCAGCAGGAGCAGCAGCAGAATCTCCCCTAGGTCGCATGCAAGGATTCTCCTCTTCCTTTCTTGTCATTGGGTCTAAGGCGCAGCAGCAGCTGCTGCAGCTTGATGCAGCAGACAGCAGCTATGGCAGCAGCAGCAGCACTAGCAGCAGCAAAAGCAATGGGGGAGCTGTGCTACATGCGATAGAGACAGCAGCAGCAGCAGCACTTGCTGCAGGTCCCCTACGGGCTTCTCCTGTTGATTGGCTGTATGTTCACCTGAACTCGGTAGAGATTGAAGGAGATCCTGCTGCTGCTGCTGCTGTTGCTGCTGCTGCTGCTGCTCATCTGCTGCGCAGGCTTCTGCGGGAGGGCTACTCAGATGACGGCGATGCAGTAGACGAGGACGCCTCTGCCCAAGCAGCAGCAGCAACAGCAGCAGCAGCAGCAGCAGCAGCAGGGCAGCTTGTTACATTAGCTGAGCCTATTATGCACCTTGAGCTGCTGCTGCCTGCTGCATGCGTCGGTGCAGCAGCAACAGAACTAACTCAGCAAAGAGAGGCGCAAGTTATCTCTATTACTGCAGCACACCCTGCTGCTGCTGCTGCTTCTGCTGCTGCTGATGGTGCTGTTGCTGCTGCTGCTGACGGTTGTGGGGTCTCTGAGGACGAAGAGCGCCTTATGCAACTCGATGCAGCGGTGGGCCCTCTGCTGCTGCTGCTGTTGCTGCTGCTACGCTTGTTGCTGCTGCTGCTTTGTGTGCTTCTGCCGCTGGCTGCTGCATCATTTGTTTCTGCTGCCGTTGATGCTGCAGCTGTTCTCGCTACTGCTGCTGCTGTTGCTGCTGCTGCAGTGTCTGTGCTAATGCTGTGCGGGTGTTTGCTGCTGCAGCTGCCGCTGAGGTGTGCGGATGGCTGCGCTTCTTCTATCCTAAGTCTTACTCGTGGTAGGCTTTTAGTGCTGCTGCTGCTGCTGTTGCTGCTGCTGCTGCTGTGCTTCCTGTTACGTGGTGCTTGCTGCTCGTCACCCTTTTGCTTTGGCAACAGCACTGTCTACAGCTGCTGCTGCTTATCGTTCTTGTGCTGCTGCTGCTGCGGCTGCTGGTGTTGCTGCTGCTGCTGTTGCTGCAGGACGGGCGAACCTTCACTTGAGACCCTTGGGCTATGGAGAGGTATCTGCTGCAGTGCAGCAGACACTCCTATCCCGCTGAGCTGGCTGCAGCAGCAGCAGCAACAGTAACAGCAGCAGCAGCAGCAGTAACAGCAACAGCAGCAAACTCTCTTGGGAGGCTTCGTTGCAGCAGCTCTCCCCGTCATTTTTTTCGGTCTGTGCATAAGGGAGAGACATAACTCCTCTAAGCCCAAGGGTTTAGGGTTTAGGGTTTAGGGTTTGGTACAGTGTATAGCAAAGAAAAGACAAATAGATTAATAATTTCTTTTTTCTTTTTTTATCTCCTTTTTATTTATATTATATTTAATTATTTTATTTATATTTTGTTGTCTCCTCTTTTTATCTGTCTTTTATTGTCTCCTTTTTATTTATTTTATTTAATTTATTTATCTATTTATTTACCTGTTTATTTATCTATTTATTTATTTTATTTTATTTATTTATTTATTTATTTATTTATTTATTTATTTATTTATTTATTTATTTATAAGAAAATAAATTAAATAAGAAAGAAAAGGAGACACAAAATAAACAAAGAGCAGCAATTTAAATAAAAGAGACAGACAACAACTAAAAAGGAGACCCCTAGCAGCAGCAGCAGCAGCAGCAGCAGCAGCAGCACAGGTCTAACAGTTGCTGCAGCAATTGGTGCTGCTGCTGCTGCTGCTGCTTCTGCAGCAGTAGCAGCAGCTGTTTAGGCTTCCGCTTCTGCTCCTGGGCTACCTTGGCTCACGCTGCTGCTGCTGCCAGGGCTGCTGCTGTTCAAACTGCTGCCGCTGCTGCTGCTGCTGCTGCTGCTGCTCGACACGGGGCGAGGGGGAGGGGGAGGCTTCGGCATATGGGGGTTGTGCAGCTTCAACTTAGGGATGGCTGTTTGCAGCTGCTGCTTCTGCTGCTGCTGCTTCTGCTGTTGCTCCTCCTCCTTCTCCTGCTGCTGCTCTTCCTGCTGCTGCTGCTGCTGCAGTGGAGCAGGCGACTCCTCCTCTCCCTGCTGCAGTAGTGTTGATACGTCTTTGCTGGCGGCCAACTCCCTACTTAGCTGCTTCTCTATCTGCTCTTCCTCTTGCTGCAGCTCCTGCTGCAGCTGCTGCTGCAGCTGCTGCTGCAGGGTGGCTCTCATATCCGATGCAGCAAGACCATCTGCTTGCTGCTCGTCAGCAGCAGAAGTTTCTTCTTTTGCTGCTGCTGCTGCTGTCTCTATGGAGGCCCAATCAGGCAACGGCACGCCAGCCAACCAATCCGACTGTGTGTACACCTGCAGCAGCAGCAGCAGCAACAACAGCAGCAGCAACAACTGTATCACGCTGCTGCAGCCCTTAGGTCCACTCTTAGACTGCCGCTCATCTCCTTAAAAAGAGCAGTAGTCACTGTACGAGCAGCAGCAGTAGCAGCAGCAGTAGCAGCAGCAGCTACAGCAGCAGCAGCAGCAGCAGCAGCACACCTGTAGTCCATGCAGTGTTGCATGCATTGAGGCCCCACACCACTGCCTAATGCTTGGAGGAATTGGAGGAACGCCAAAGGCAGCAACAGCAGCAATAGAAGATAAAGACTTCTCCTGCTGCAGCGCAGCACTGCAGCAGCAGCAACAGCAGCAGCAACAACAACAACAAACGTGCAATACGAACAATCTACGATACCCTCAGAAGACAGCAGCACCAAGAACAGCATCCACCCCCCACCAGCAGCAGCAACACCAGCAGCAACAACAACAGCAGCAACACCAGCAACAGCAACAGCATTAGCAGCAGCAGCAGCAGCAGCAGCTAACAGCAGCTCATTGGATAGCCTTGTAGAGAATCCCCTTAAGGAAGAAATTCCTCCGCAAAGAAGAATATTTTGTATAACAAGGCGACGAGCCTCTAATGGGCAACGCAGCAACGAGCTGTACATACACCCCACAGCAGCAGCAGCAGCAGCAGCAGCAACAGCAGCAGCATTATATTAGTACAGCAGCAGCAACAGCAATATGATAGTTGCTGCAGCAACAACGTAATTGCTACTGCAGCAACAGCAACTGCAGCACGGACAGCAGACCAGAGGCCTCACTAGTAGAGAACTCGATACCAGCAGCAGCAACAACAACAGCAACAGCAGCAACAGCAACAGCAGCAGCAGCAACAGCAACAGCAGCAGCAGCAGGGAGACGAACCCAATGATGAGCTCTTGAAGACTTTCTCCAACATCTGCTGCTAATGACTCAGGAGGAAGACCACCAAATAATACCTCAGCACAACGCCAACTGCAGCATCAGCAACAACAACAGCAGCAGCACCAGCAGCAGCAGCAGAAGGCAATGAGGCAACGAGAGCAGCAGAGGCAGCACATGCAGTAAGGTGGGGGAAGAAACGGCAACCGCAACAGCAGCAGCAAGCAGCAGCTGCAGCAGCTGCAGCAGCTGCAGCAGCAGCATCAGCAACAGCAGCAGCAGCAACAGCAGCAGCTGCAGCAGCAGCAGCAGCAACAGCAGCAGCAGCAACAGCAGCAGCAGCAACAGCAGCAGCAACAGCAGCAGCAGCAGCTTACCGTAGGTTAGGAGGGACATTAATAAGTGTGCCGTCCTTTGTCTGGTAATCCATAGACAACGACGACTCAAATACCACCTGCTGCTGCTGCTGCTGCTGCTTCTGCTGCTCCTGCTGCTGCTGCTGCTGCTTCTCCTGCTGCTGCTGCTGCTGCTGCTGCTGGTTGCTGCTGTTGATTTCATATCTGACATATGCCACCTTAATCACCAAATCTTCCAAATCCTCAAGGCTCATCTTCTTCAACTGCAGCAGCAGCAGCAGCAGCAGCAGCAGCAAGAGCAGCAAGAGCAGCAACAACAACAGGAGTAGCAGCAACAGCAGCAGTAGCAACAGCAGCATTAGCAACAGCTGCAGCAGATAGAGTGTATGTAAATGTTGCTGTTGCTGCTTCTGCTGCTGCTGCTGCTGCAATGTTTCCTTACTGCTTTTTTTTGTTTCTCTGTTGTTGCTGCTGCTGCTAGATCCTGCTGCAGCTGCAGCAGCACAGCAGCAGCACCACCGCTAGATATACGAAGAGCGCAAGGCAAAGGACTACCAAAACAAGTTGGCTGTACACGGCAGCAGCTAAACCTGTATACACCACAAACCCTAAACCCTAAACCCTAAACCCTAAACCCTAAACCCTAATAAACCCTGAAGGGTAACAAACCCTAAACCCTCAAACCCTGAAGGCTAAAACATCAGCGCATTAAGGGAGTCAGCTCGGTCACAACAACTTGCAACTATAGATTAGGGTTTAGGGTTTAGGGTTTATGATTAGGGTTTAGGGTTTAGGGTTTAGGGTTTAGATTACCCAACATCAACAACAAGTCCCGTGTCTACTCCACAGGTATAAAGAGGAGCAACTAAATCAGAAAGAAAAGAAATTGATGGCACCTGCAACATAAACCCTAAACCCTAAACCCTAATAAACCCTAAACCCTAATAAACCCTAATAAACCCTAATAAACCCTAAACCCTTAGGTAGCAAATGGGTATTAAGGATATTTACCTGCTTCTTAGGTTGTTATATAGAGCAGACTACCTACCTCTCTGCACTGCATATCTAGGGTTTAGGGTTTAGGGTTTAGGGTTTAGGGTTTAGGGTTTACCTGAAAATAATTAAGTAGCAACCTAACAAGTTCTTTCTTAATAGGGAGAGGGGTAAGGGGCCCCTCTAGCAGCAGCAGGGGCCTATCGCTGTTGCTGCGGCTGCAGCAAACCCTCAAGATAGGCAGCAACCAAGCAGCAAGTCTATAACTTAATTCTGCACCCTTAGGGAGAGGAGATAGGAATACTCTCCTCTTGCTGCTGCTGCTGCTGCTGTTGCTGCTGCTGCTGCTATCGCTGCTGCTGTCGCTGCTGCTGTCGCTGCTGGGGGTGGGGGAGTCTGGTGCAGCTGGTGTTGCTGCAGCACCTGCTGCTCCTCCATCTCCTGCTCCTTTTGCTGCTGCTGCTGCTGTTGCTGCTGCTGCTGCAGCAGGAAGGAGAGGCACGGATTCAAGATTATTAGTATTAATAAAAGGAGGGTTTAATACTTGATGGGGTGCATGCAGACCTGCCAGCCCCAAACGAATAAAGCGGCTACCTAATTGTAATACAACAGGTATACAACTTAATAATCTTTGCTGCTCTTCTTCGTACTCATCGTCAAAATCCTCACCGAAACCCTCGTAATTCTCCATTTCTAGGGTTTAGGGTTTAGGGTTTAGGGTTTGACCGGTTAGGGTTTAGGGTTTAGGGTTTAGGGTTGAAAATGGGATATCGTACTATACACTCCACACAAACCCTCGGGGGAACATCCCCTACATACAGCAGCAACTTGCTGCTGCTATTTCAGCTGCTGCTGCTGCTGTTGCTGCTGCTGTTGCTGTTGCTGCTGCTGCTGCTGCTGCTGTGGTTATTGAGGCGGTTAGGGCTGCTCGGAGGGAAGAAGAATTTAGCGAGTAAAATAAGATGTTCCTCTAGGAACATCTAAAAAGGTCAAGGGTTTAGGGTTTAGGGTTTAGAGTTTCGGTTCTAGGGTTTAGGGTTTAGGGTTTAGGGTTTAGGGTTTAGGGTTTAGGGTTTAGGGTTTGTAGCTGATGGATGGGCCGGTGACAGTCTAGGCGGAGAGGAGGCTCGTAAAGAGACGCAGACCACCATTGAGGGTTTAGGGTTTATAATTTAGGGTTTTAATAACGAATTTAAGGGTTTAAATCATATATTGTTGTGTCTAAGACTTAGTGTTTAGGGTTTAGGGTTTAGGGTTTAGGGTTTGTCCTGTTCGGCTGCGACAGGGGGGCCTCGTGGGGCCCCTTGTCGGCTCCGCTGCAGCCGCCAACCCTTGGCCGTAAACCCTAAACCTCAACTACAAACCCTAAACCCTAAACCCTAATTTATTACGTCATTTATTTTTTGCGTTTTCTTTTTTTTATATAGGGTTTAGGGTTTAGGTAACAATATACACAACTGTTAGTCCTCGCAGTACCAGCGGTCTCCGTTTGGGGTTTAGGGTTGTAGGGTTTAGGGTTTAGGGTTTAGTGATTAGTGGTTGCTAGAAACCTGCAAGTGCAGCTTAGATATTTAGGTCTCCAGATCTGGGGTTTAGGGTTGTAGGGTTTAGGGTTTAGGGTTTAGGGTTTAGGGATGTTTAACAGTAGATTTTAGGGTTTAATGGTCTGTGGATGCAAAGGTCTATGATATAGACTCTCAGTAGGGTTTAGAGTTTATGGTTAAGTGTTTAGGGTTTAGGGTTTAGAGTTTAGGGTTTAGGGTTTAGGGTTTAGGGTTTAGGGTTTAGTGTTTGGGTCCGTACGGAGTCATGGAGGCCTAACTGAGTAAGAAAAAAAGAGGAAGAAAAAGGAGATATAAATAAAAATGGCGAGGCAAAAGGAGACAAAAAGAGACAAAAAGAGACAAAAGGAGACAAAAAGAGAGAAAAGGAGACAAAAGGAGACAATTGGTTGCCCGTGGGGTTCGTTAGTGTAATATAAATGATAACGAGGGTTTAGGGTTTAGGGTTTAGGGTTTACGATTAGGGTTTAGGGTTTGAGGGTTTAATGAATACACTCACGTCTTATGGTTTAACAAATAGCCTCTTCTCTCTAAATCCATTCTTTCTAGGGTTTAGGGTTT